TGAGCGAGTGAGTGAGTGAGTCAGTGAGTGAGTGAGGCAGTGAGTGAGTGTAAATGTGTGTGTTCGTCACTAAACCTCCAGTTGTGTTGTGTGAAACAGGGCAGGTTCTGGAGGATGAGGAGGACGAGGAAGAGCGAGTGTGTGCGGTGGCCAAGCCGGTGTGTGTGAACGGGACGGAGTCGGCGACACTGAAACCCAAACCTGAGCGGCGCTCCAGCTCCTCCTCCAATCCCTCCAGGAAGAGTATGTCAGCCGCCAGCAAGATCCGCAAACTCTCCACCTGCAAACAGCAATGACCCGCTCCGCTCCTGCTGCACACTCTGTACAGGTGAGAGACTGCGCCACACACACCTGCGCCGATCACACACACCTGCGCCTCCTCTGTACGTGAGTGTGTGTGTGTGTTCAGGGTGGGGTTCCTCTAATGCTGATGAGATGCCGCAGTGAATGCGATGACTCAGTCTCTCTCTCTCTCTGGTGGAGTCGGTGACTCAGACTCCTCTCTCTCTCTCTCTCTCTCTCTCTCTCTCTATATATATATATATATATTTAGCGCTCTCGTCTTCAGCTCTGCTCCGTCGGATGGAAACCTGTTTACACTTTCCTCTCGCATTAAACGGAAATTGCAAATGCAAAGCCATAAAATCACAATGTGTTACGAGAACGCTGCATAATGACTCTCAGCAGATCACACTGATGCGGGCGGTCGAGATCATTTATATGAAGAAAATGCCTATCTTTAGACTATACGAAGTATTTGCAGTAAAATGTGCTGAAACGTTGTTTTCTCTGTATTTGAACGTTTTCATCATATTACAGTGTTAATTTTCTCAGACACAAGCTTTTATTATTAAATGAAGAAATACTAATGTGCTGCGGGAGTACATTTACAAAATATATATTTATATTTCTCTCTCTCTCTCTCTCCGCAGGTTTATGTTGTTTCCCAGCAGTCGCTCACCTCTGCCATGATGATGATGATGATGAAGAACACACACACACACGGTGCCAGGACACTCGTTCTTCTCGTCTGGACTGACTTGACTTGAGAACGCTGTTAGAGAGCGGAGATGTTTCCCACAATCCTCCTCTGTCGCCGAGCGTCATCCGTTCGGCCGATCAGCACCCGAAGACCTTCCGTTTAGTTTTAGACCGTCTTTTAATTTGCCGTTATTCCTGCTGCTTCAGATGCAGATGTTTGATGTAAAGGGTGACATCAGTTATTGTAGAGAGCAATCGCTGCGGATGATGATGATGAATATACGATGATAAACTATAAAGTGCATGCTGGGACGCGTCTGGACGGAGAGCTGATCGCCACAGGACGTCTGGGTTCATTTTCCCCCCATTTGGTTTGTTTTTCCCGATAAATATTTTTTAAGTATTATTTATATAAAACACATCCCAACTGAAGCTGAGGCTCATGGTCCTTTATTTGCCTGTGTGTTTGATTGGAGAAAGCGGATTGGCTGTGGTCAGCGTTTACTCGTTTAATCATGTCGTTTCAGATGACGTTCACAATTCATTCCAAATAAAGAGTCGACTTTATTTTCCTGAACGGAAAGAAAACGCACGCTTTAGACCCGTGCATTCGCTATATGCAAGAGAAACCACGTTTCCATTACCATTTAAATTGCGCAAATTGAATTTGAGAATTGAAAATACGCACAATGGAAACGCGTCAATTTCGCAAAAACACCCAATTATCAAAATAACTATTATTTAGTTTGGGAAAGTATGGAAAACTGTTAGTTTTCACACTATTTTCTCTATTCTGTTTTCTAAAGTATAAAATTAAGAGTGAATACAGTGATTGTCGAACATGACCGGATGAATTCAAGTCGCACATGTTCATTACACAAAACTACTCTTATTGCGCTATATCAGATATAATGCTGCGTTAACAGGGTCTAAAACTAACTTTTTACCACACCTGCCGATTTTAATTTTTTTTTACATCGATTAATCCTTATTAAAGTTACAAATGATTCAGTGAAGAGCAGTGAGTGATTTTTCTTTGTCTTTTGTTGTTTTATTTATTTTAAAACACCACGGGAATATTAGGCTACTGTCACTTTAAGAGCGAATGCGCGAGTCTAATATACTGATACACATGCGTTTTCTTTTCAACTGTTTACATCTACGTAAGATATGACTATATCTATATATAAAAAAAAAAGAATGCTTCCTGGGCGTTTTGACACAATTTTGTGTGAATTTGTCCGTTCAAGTGCAAAAAGAACATTTGTTTATGTTCTCGCAATATTGTATTGTTTAGAACTCGTAACTGGCGATTGACATTGTGTATCCGCCAGAGTGTTAGTTTTATGCCGTTTATGAAACATTAATGTTTTGCTATGTTTACGCCATGTTGTAAAACCTTTATCAAGATGACCGCAAGTGACTGAACTGGGAATTATGGGAATCTGCAGCGGTCACATGGTACCAGTAGCGCTCTGAAAATCCCCAGTTTACAAGTTCGAGCACTTTTGGAATCTCGTAATTACGGTAATTATGACGTAGTCTGAGCGCACTTCTAACCCTCGGTCATTTATTCATTGGAATGGTACGAATCTTGGTACAGGACGAGCTGTTACGAAATTTATATTTTTAAAAAAACATGTTTTACATGTTTAGCCCTAAACCTAAAGCAGCTGTGCTCCAGATGTGCGTCTGATCTCTCAGTAAATGATCTTCCATCCAGTGAGATGTTGTTCGGCTGCAGTTCCAAACGCTTCCACTAGAGGACACTCGTCTCGTTCATTTCCAATGCGCTCGTTTCTGACCGCGAGGAGCACAAGTGTGACTGTTGTTTACAGGACCGTTTAAGTTATTCACATCATGATCGGGATTAATGAGCGCCAAAACCTTTACCAAGAAGTAAAAAATTCAACAAAAAAAGCGAAACTTGGCAGTTATTTCTATTTTGTGTTCTCAAAATCAGTTCTTTGAGAGATTCACTCAACAGGAAGTGCGTTTGTTGATGGATGACTGAGGCTGATGGAAACCTGCAGGAAACTCTTCCTTCAAACGATTAATTCAATGAATCTGCTTTTATTGTTGTGACTGTCCCGGGTGACCTCTGGCCTCTTACACGGCTGTTTCCATGGCAACGACCCCTTTATACCCCCAGCAAGAGTTCAGCTCCACAGCCAGGTAACCATTTATAGCTCAGTTTTTTTATTTTGGTATTAAGTAATACTTCGTTTTGTGTGTATAAAACTTGCCAGACGAATCTAACCGTTCCAACTACTAGGCTACTACTAATCTTTTCTGTTTACAAAACAATTGCAGATTTTTACAAATGTTTTGACTCATTATTGTTTAGATAAAAAGATAATTTAATTCAATAAACATGAACATCTCATTTGCTTTGTGACCTGATTGTTTTGTTTTTCCCGCCAATAAACATAATTTTTGCATAAAACCGAAAAAATACCTTTATTGCAAAGGAATCATAATTCAAAAATGACAATTCAGAGTGATGTAGATGTACACATATACAATTCTCTACAACCTGCGTTCTCCAATGCTAAATCTGAATGTCACAGTACAACGATGGTCATAAATGTGTCGTGTGTATGATATTGATATGAAAACTGAGATATTGATTGATCCGGCCCGGTAAACACGGATTCCTGATGTGGGTCGACACTGTTGCTGTTTGGGATTCTTCTTAGCATTAATGGTTTAGTAACGATCGTTATAGAGTCCCAAACAGCAACATCAATGCACTGTCCGTCCTCGAGGACTTGTGATGTTCTGGATAGTGCATTGTGGGATATTCCGATTATTCGGACACCAGATATCATTTTTGATATATTTTTTACTAGTGAGTTCTGCTCATATTTAATACCATTGTCTAAAGTTAAACTATAGCAATCAACTGATGATGTGAGAAAGTGCGTGAATAAAGTTTGGTTTGACTGTACAAGTGTAGGAGATGATGGGACTATGAAAGTGTGATCTAGATTGGTTAGATTAGACATGACCCGTGCTGATTTCTGAAGCGGTTTCACAGTGAAGTTCCTTGACCGCAGATCAGTGTGTGTGTGTGTGTGTGTCTATAGTCCCTTGAATGCAATAAATACAACCGTACGGCTCAAACTCTTATTTGTTTTAAAGGTAAAGTTCAGTCACTGAACAGACTCCCTAAAATAATGACTGTTTCCCGTGGGTCAGTGTACCGGGGATACTCAACCCTGCGTTTTCAACCAAGCCACAAGAGGGTATATTAATATCCGAAAATGACACGCCTCATCTAATTATTGCTACTGATCCCAGCATGCATCGCGCTTGTATTCATCTAGTTTCATGTTGTACTGAAGTATGGCATTTTTCAAATTGGTGGCATGACATTTTTTAGGAAAAAGGTGTTGGCCACTCAAAAATTCAACATGACGGCCATTTTTTCAAGATGGCCGCTATTTCTGTCAAATGCCTCAATCGTTCAAACAGTGATGTAGACGTAACATTTTGTGAAAATACTCCTTTAAGAAAGTTTTTTGGGGAAAAGGTGTGTGGCGTGCTACTCAAATATTCAAGATGGCGATCATTTTCAAGATGGCCACCATTTCTATCAGAGCTCAATTTAACCCTTTAACTGCCCCCCCGAAGGTATTAGGCAGATTTTTGAAGAAATGGTGGCCATTTTTGATTTTTGGGACAAGAATCTTTTTTCATTAACATGTCCTGAGTGTATTTGTAAAACATTTTATGCTTGGATCACTGTTTGAATAATTAATAAAAGCATCCCAGATAGCAAACTGACATTGAATCAATGTGGAAACGACGCCTCTCATGACATTGAAACAACGTTGATTTTGCTCATCGAATTACGTTGAACCAACGTCAGACGCGGCATTCTTCAAAGCTAAATGAAAATCGAAAATTGGTTTGCTTTCATAACGTTGAAACAACTCGTTGATTTCAAGTTGATTTTCCGTTAGTTTTGAAAGAATGACGCGTCTGACGTTGGTTCAACGTTAATTCGATGAGCAAAACAATGTCAGATCAACGTTGTTTCGATGTCATATTTCCACGTTGATTCAATGTCAGTTTGCTATCTGGGATTGAATACCAATGGCGGCCATCTTGAAAAATGGCTACCTTATTGAATTTTTTGAGGGACCAATGCCTTTTTTCCAAAATAGTGGCCCTCAAAGAGTATCTGTGCCAAATTTCATGCTTGTATACCAAAGTGAACGATTGTTTTGCTAATCTGCAGCACTATTGTCGCTTGTCTCAATATGAGGCTTGCTCTTGTTCCTCAGAACCGGCACCGAACGACAAGCGTTACTACACAACCCGTCCGCAAGCTATCACAGTCTTTTACCATTCTTTTTAAAAACATCTTTTAACACAATTTATTAAATTAGTTATTTGAACAAATAAAATTCCAAATGGGGGGCCATTGTGCAATGCGAAGAATGCTAATTATATTTTAGTTTTGTTGTGCATCCGTGACGTTAGCTTGAGGAGTTGTTCTTGACGCGATGATGACGCTAGTAGCCCAGCGCCCTGGAAAAGGAGTTCATGAAAACTTGACCTAAACTAGAACGATGACTATATGGGCATCCCCACCAGCAGACAATATCATTCTGTTAAATACAAGTGCATGCTGCGGTTTTGTCGTATGCTCGAGCTCTTTAAAGTCTGATTGGCTGTCAATGTTTATCAATGTTCAAAAAGAGATTCCAGCAATATTGTTCCTCTGTGTCGTTAGCGTTACAGTTGTGGTGTGACTGCTATTCTCCTAGAGTTATAGCGACTATATGGTTATAGTTATCATTCTTGGCGTAGCCAGCACTTTATTCTTCGAGATCCGTTGAGGTGCGGCTTACGTTCACGACACATTCCTGACCTCCTCTTTGAGTCCTCAGATCAGAGTATATCCGATCATCCAGCATGGAGGCCAGTTTGTCTGACGGACTTGTGTCAGTGTAGGTGTGATGCTTGTAGTCCGAATCGGGCACGCGAGTATCTGTATGGGAATGCAAATGAGACGAAAGTGTGTTCATCAACGGCGGCCCGTCTCGGTCCACGACCTCCATCTGTGAATGTTTATGCGAGTCTGCGGGATTAGCAAAGTCCTCCAGTATCCCACAGTCCCTCGCACTGTTTTCCAGCGGTTGTGATGTAAAGAAATGCCGGCTTGTGTTGTTGCTGCTGTTGTTCGCGTTTTCCTCCAGATCTGGACCTGAACTTCCAGCACCGGAGGGTGGACCAGCACCTCCGACTGTTTCCGGCTCGGGCGATTCCGTACCCGCCGCTCCTTCGCTTCCCTCCTCATCCGCCGCGCTAGCGATGCGAGGCAAGGTGCTATGATAGCGCGTGTCCAAGGGGTAGTTAGCGCTGTCGCCTCGGCGTAGCGGATAGCAGCGCTGTCGCTCCAGGGATGGCGAGTATCGGACGGTTCCAGGATCGCTGTATTGTTTGCTACGCTGCCATTGCTTCCGGAGATGAATACGGGACCGGTGACGGTGCCGTAACGAGGGGGACCCCTGCTGGTCGAACTGAGGATCATGCCGTAGGAATTCGTTGAACAGCGCCTCGGTCTTCTCATCGATGCTGTAGTCTCGTCGGCGGAAGCGAGGCCGGGGTTGCGTTTCTTGGGAAGCTTTCGCCTCGTCTTCCAGCTCCTCTTTAAAGAGCCGTGCCTCGAAACTCTCGCAAACCGTGCCTTTGCGGCCAGAATTGGTGAAAAAGCGCCTGCGTTCGGATGCGGTCTTCGCAGAGCTACTTCCGAAAAGCCTAAGTTCCTCGGGAGCCTTGCAGGGAGCCTCGATTGAGGCGTATCCGCTGTCCATTTGCAGGAGCTTCCGGTTGTTCGTCTCTCCTTCAGAATCTACACTGTCCCGTCTGTTTCTCCTCGACCCGGCGTCCCGGACCACGTCGTCGTACGGCAGCTCGCCGTCCCCATCCATGTCGTCATCGATGTCTTGCGACTGGTAATTGGGGGCGCCTGATCTTGACGCTCCCGCTGAACAAACGCTCTCCGCGTCGCTGCGAGTGGAGTCTCTGTCGTTACTGCTCAGGTCCGAGGAGGCGTACTGTTCCAGCGAAGCTCTCAAACTCCAGATGTCCCGGTATAAGCTGGGCTGATCTAGACTCTCCTGATGACCGAACTCTCCTGAAGCTCCTGCCATCATCTCCTCCATCTCCTGGGAGCAGGGGAACGCAGGAGTCGTGTCTTTGGGCACTGCATCTGTGTTGTGTTTGAGCTCCATTACAGCCTCTATCTCTAACCTGAAGGAGTGCAAAGACATGATGTCAATCGCCAGACAGAAAGGTAAACATTGTAAGTTACGGTGCATTGGGTAATATTTAGGATGATCTGTTGACAGAAATGCAATCACATTTTTTAAATCTTAGTACCGACTTCAATGTTACTTTTGACAACTCGAGGATTGTTTTGGAATTGGACTTTGACTCCTGAAACTCAGATCTGGCCCGACACTATGTTGCTGTATGCGACTCCGGAGTGTTCAATCCTGATCCTGGACTTTTGTTCCACCCTGCCGGGTTTGTCACCATGCCTGAACTTCTGGGATATTTTGAGCGTACCTGCTGAGGGCCTGAGGAGCTCCTGCATTGGCGTCCAGAGAACCGGCCGAGAGGCGTCTGGGCGGCTCCATCTGTGGGTTTTGCAACAGAAAGTCATCAACTCCACCCTGGAAGTTTTCCTCTCCCTGGTCCAGAGTCTCACTGGCCGCCCGCTGCCTCTGAAACACACGTCTCCGTGGAGAACCTAAAAGAAGAGCAGGGATAGCCAGGTAAGACCATGCACAGATGACTCTAGTTGACTTAAGCCGGTGCACACTGTGCGGTTTTGCTAATCCTGAAGGAATCCTATGATCCTAGGCTAAAATCTGAAGTCTTTGATCGTTAGTTTGACGTGTTCACCGACTGCCGATTAATGTCCGTTGCGTTGCGTCCATTTTTGACCGCCGACGAAATTCTGGCAGTGTCAGAAGTTTTGACTCTCCGACGACCTCCGTCAAATTGTCTTTTTTTTATTTAATAGTATTTTTATTTCAGTTTTACTCTTAGTAATTTTAGCACTTCAAATTTTGGATTTGTTTTAACTTAGCTTAAGTTTTCATCTAATATTTATTTTTATTTCAGCTTCACCATATATTTTTAGCTAACAACCCAGAGGCCCAGGACCGGATCTGGGCCGACACTATGTTGCCATTATTTAATTTCATTCATCAGGAAGCAGATTTGTCCTGTACTCTTGGTTGAAGTCTGTGAGCCAATCAGATTTCAGAACAGTCACGTGACTTTAACTAGACTAAGCTTCTCGACCCGTATTGATTCCTCTTAGCTGAATAAAAGCTCTCATTGTTTACGGAGACTGCCTTTGAACTTTGATTTCTGAGCAATATTGCAGCTCATATCGTAAAGAATCATTATTTTAAGTTTGGAGAACTTTAAAACATCTTTCAGACAACAAAACGGTCAACAAGAGCGTTTAATGAAACTGAACTGCAGGAACTATTTGATCTGAAGTCAACTATTATTAGGAATGAATTATTTAATAATTACATGATGCATCACCTCTCATATCAAGACTCGCTGCTCTCTGGATGGTGTCGAGTCTCCATTTCTTGACGCTGAAGAACGGACCCGCTCCCTCCAGGCTGGCGTGGCGTCTGAGCTTAGACAGGAAGTGGAACATGGTTCCCTGAGCTGGACAGGAAGTGACATCTCTGTCCATCAGCAGGCTTCTGCTCATCACCTCAACCTGGAGAGGAAAACCAGGAGTGAACAGACGGTCACAGGTAACATGGAGAACATCCGGCTCATATTACAATCCTTAATCAAATGTATTTAAAGGGGTTTAATGCCCCTTTTTACAATATGTAAAATAAGTCACTGTTGTTCCCAGAGTGTGTATGTGAAGTTTTAGCTCAAAATACCCCACAGATATCTTTTTACAGCATGTTAAAATTATCAAATGAGCTTCGTCTCCAGGCACAGGGGCGGAGCTTTAAGAGCTTGTGTAAAATGTAATTTGAATTGGTAAGGGGCGTTACATTGCTGACACACTCTAAACATTTGACCAATCACAACAGAACGGCAAGTTGACCAATCTGAGCAAACTGGGCTTTTCCGAACGGCAGCTTTAAAATGGAGAATGTAGTTTCTACGATACTAGCGGATTTACGCAAATACAGCATATTTTGCAATGTCCATTTCTCACGTAACGTCTCCCCAACTCAAACATCATAATCTGTCTGCTTTAGTCTGATAGCCACTCCCCTAACTCTCCATCTGCTACAGTAGCCACTCCCCTAACTCACAGTCTGCTACAGTAGCCACTCCCCTAACTCTCATTCTGCTACAGTAGCCACTCCCCTAACTTTCAGTCTGGTACAGTAGCCACTCCCCTAACTCTCAGTCTGATACAGTAGCCACTCCCCTAACTCTCAGTCTGATACAGTAGCCACTCCCCTAACTCTCATTCTGCTACAGTAGCCACTCCCCTAACTCTCAGTCTGCTACAGTAGCCACTCCCCTAACGCTCAGTCTGCTACAGTAGCCACTCCCCTAACTCTCAGTCTGCTACAGTAGCCACTCCCCTAACTCTCAGTCTGCTACAGTAGCCACTCCCCTAACTCTCAGTCTGATACAGTAGCCACTCCCCTAACTCTCAGTCTGCTACAGTAGCCACTCCCCTAACTCTCAGTCTGATACAGTAGCCACGCCCCAAACTCTCAGTCTAAAACAGTAGCCACTCCCCTAACTCTCAGTCTGATACAGTAGCCACTCCCCTAACTCTCAGTCTGATACAGTAGCCACGCCCCAAACTCTCAGTCTGCTATTGTAGCCACTCCCCTAACTCTCAGTCTGATACAGTAGCCACGCCCCAAACTCTCAGTCTGCTACAGTAGCCACTCCCCTAACTCTCAGTCTGATACAGTAGCCACTCCCCAAACTCTCAGTCTGATACAGTAGCCACTCCCCAAACTCTCAGTCTGATACAGTAGCCACTCCCTTAACTCGCAGTCTGATACAGTAGCCACTCCCCTAACTCGCAGTCTGATACAGTAGCCACTCCCCTAACTCTCAGTCTGATACAGTAGCCACTCCCCAAACTCTCAGTCTGATACAGTAGCCACTCCCCTAACTCGCAGTCTGGTACAGTAGCCACTCCCCTAACTCTCAGTCTGCTACAGTAGCCACTCCCCTAACTCTCCATCTGCTACAGTAGCCACTCCCCTAACTCACAGTCTGCTACAGTAGCCACTCCCCTAACTCTCATTCTGCTACAGTAGCCACTCCCCTAACTTTCAGTCTGGTACAGTAGCCACTCCCCTAACTCTCAGTCTGATACAGTAGCCACTCCCCTAACTCTCAGTCTGATACAGTAGCCACTCCCCTAACTCTCATTCTGCTACAGTAGCCACTCCCCTAACTCTCAGTCTGCTACAGTAGCCACTCCCCTAACTCTCAGTCTGCTACAGTAGCCACTCCCCTAACTCTCAGTCTGCTACAGTAGCCACTCCCCTAACTCTCAGTCTGCTACAGTAGCCACTCCCCTAACTCTCAGTCTGATACAGTAGCCACGCCCCAAACTCTCAGTCTGATACAGTAGCCACTCCCCTAACTCTCAGTCTGATACAGTAGCCACTCCCCTAACTCTCAGTCTGATACAGTAGCCACGCCCCAAACTCTCAGTCTGCTATTGTAGCCACTCCCCTAACTCTCAGTCTGATACAGTAGCCACGCCCCAAACTCTCAGTCTGCTACAGTAGCCACTCCCCTAACTCTCAGTCTGATACAGTAGCCACTCCCCAAACTCTCAGTCTGATACAGTAGCCACTCCCTTAACTCGCAGTCTGATACAGTAGCCACTCCCCTAACTCGCAGTCTGATACAGTAGCCACTCCCCTAACTCACAGTCTGATACAGTAGCCACTCCCCAAACTCTCAGTCTGATACAGTAGCCACTCCCTTAACTCGCAGTCTGATACAGTAGCCACTCCCTTAACTCTCAGTCTGATACAGTAGCCACTCCCCTAACTCGCAGTCTGGTACAGTAGCCACTCCCCTAACTCTCAGTCTGCTACAGTAGCCACGCCCCAAACTCTCAGTCTGATACAGTAGCCACTCCCCTAACTCGCAGTCTGGTACAGTAGCCACTCCCCTAACTCTCATTCTGCTACAGTAGCCACTCCCCTAACTCGCAGTCTGGTACAGTAGCCACTCCCCTAACTCTCAGTCTGCTACAGTAGCCACGCCCCAAACTCTCAGTCTGATACAGTAGCCACTCCCCTAACTCGCAGTCTGATACAGTAGCCACTCCCCAAACTCTCAGTCTGATACAGTAGCCACTCCCTTAACTCGCAGTCTGATACAGTAGCCACTCCCTTAACTCTCAGTCTGATACAGTAGCCACTCCCCTAACTCGCAGTCTGGTACAGTAGCCACTCCCCTAACTCTCAGTCTGCTACAGTAGCCACGCCCCAAACTCTCAGTCTGATACAGTAGCCACTCCCCTAACTCGCAGTCTGCTACAGTAGCCACTCCCCAAACTCTCAGTCTGATACAGTAGCCACTCCCTTAACTCGCAGTCTGATACAGTAGCCACTCCCCTAACTCGCAGTCTGGTACAGTAGCCACTCCCCTAACTCGCAGTCTGCTACAGTAGCCACTCCCCAAACTCTCAGTCTGATACAGTAGCCACTCCCCTAACTCGCAGTCTGCTACAGTAGCCACTCCCCTAACTCTCAGTCTGATACAGTAGCCACTCCCCAAACTCTCAGTCTGATACAGTAGCCACTCCCCTAACTCTCAGTCTGATACAGTAGCCACTCCCCTAACTCGCAGTCTGGTACAGTAGCCACTCCCCAAACTCTCAGTCTGATACAGTAGCCACTCCCCTAACTCTCAGTCTGATACAGTAGCCACGCCCCAAACTCTCAGTCTGATACAGTAGCCACTCCCCTAACTCTCAGTCTGATACAGTAGCCACTCCCCTAACTCTCAGTCTGATACAGTAGCCACTCCCCTAACTCTCAGTCTGATACAGTAGCCACTCCCATATCTCTCAGTCTGATACAGTAGCCACGCCCCTAACTCTCATTCTGCTACAGTAGCCACTCCCCTAACTTTCAGTCTGCTACAGTAGCCACTCCCCTAACTCTCAGTCTGGTACAGTAGCCACTCCCCTAACTCTCAGTCTGGTACAGTAGCCACTCCCCTAACTCTCAGTCTGGTACAGTAGCCACTCCCCTAACTCTCAGTCTGGTACAGTAGCCACTCCCCTAACTCTCAGTCTGGTACAGTAGCCACTCCCCTAACTCTCAGTCTGGTACAGTAGCCACTCCCTTAACTCGCAGTCTGATACAGTAGCCACGCCCCCATAAACACAACACATGTGCAACTATGAGCTGTTGTTGTTCGTTCATAATGTCACCAAATGAAACTGCAGTGTTCCCGGTTTCTCAGCACTGACTCACGGTGTGTGATCGGGGAGGTCTGCCGGGGTGTTCAGCGCTGGTGGTCAGGGTGGAGTTCAGTGTGTCTCCGGGAAGAGCACAGCTGGGGCTTTGACTGATCCACAATCCTGGAGCCTCCGGCACGGGGCCCTCAGCGGGCTGCACACACACACACACACACACACGCACATCACGGACATGATTGGAACAGGTTAAACGCTCTGGGTTAGGTTTAGTGCTTTGATTATCTCGCAGTTTTAGAGTAAATGTGTACAAAAATACAAGTTTAAGTTGGAAATTAAATTTCCAGGTTTATGCTCAAAAACGAAATAAACTAAATGGATTATAAATGTAGCGTAAATATAATTATGCATAAAAAAATACAAAATATTAAATAAAAAAACATTATCAAACTAAAATATAGAAATTTTATTTAATTGAAGAAAAAAAATGTGACCAATACACAAAGAGCACGAGAGGGTTAAACTGTTTCTTTTGTCCATATTATGCACAAATGCTGTATCAGTGTCATTTAGAAAATACACTTTATTTATTTATTTAGTGTTTAGCAATGTTGTTGATCTGTGTTGTGCTACTTACATGTTATCACTGTGAAGCTGCTTTGATACAATCTGTATTGTGAAAAGCGCTATATAAATAAATGTGACTTGACTTGACTTGACTTTATTTCGATAGTGCCCTTTAGACTGAAAGCATGAGGTGTGTGTGTGTCACCTGGAATATGGAGAGAGACGGGTGTGTCGAGGGCTGTTCGGTGACCGTCACGCTGTTCTCCGGGGAATCGCACTCCATGATGGTGAGGATCTTCAGCGCCGGCGCCGGGATGTGCAGGTGTGTGAGACGAGCTTTCTTTAGGTGATGGAAGTCTCCTTCTGTGAGTGTGTACCTGACAGAGAGAGAGAGGGCTGCACGATTTACCTACGCTATCTCACGACAAATTCGTACGAGTGATTCAAAAGTGGCTAATTCATACGACCTCACTCATACGAATTTGTACGATTTGTCTAAATCCACGTGACGGTTATGTTTAGGGGCGGCGTCAGGGGTAGGTCATTTGTACGAATTCATAAGAATTGGCTAATTCGTAAAATATGTACGATTTAGCAAATCGAATTCCCGTGAGATCGGGTTGGATTTACATGTAATCGCACTTAAACTGATTTGAATTATCGCAATTATGACTGTGATTGTTAGTTATGTGCAGCGTGTCAGTGAAGCACGGCTCAGGAAATAGTGTACTAATTACTCTCTCTAAAAGTAATGAATTACTCGGTGTCTAAAGTGATTACTTGCTGTCTAAATCCCATAATAACCTCGACCACAATACAGGGATAGATGTGAAATATAGTCTGCTCTTTTAATTCTTTTCAAAAAATAATATATAGGTGCATAAATCATTTTTGAACTGACCAAAGTATTAGAAGTGAAAGGTTAAGGAACCGTGTCTGACCTTCGACCTTTCTCCTGGTCTTTGGCGCTCTGGTCAAAGATGGCGGCCTCGTTGAAAGAGACCCGTCGCCCGGTGAGGGACGCGGACAGGAAGTGATCCGTGTTCGTATCGCCATGACAACCGGAAGTGGACAGCGAATCCCCGCTCTCGAGTCTGATGGTGATGTCTGACGAAGATGAAGAAAAACCTCAATAATGCACTTTGGTTTCTCTGTTCAGGAGGGATGGTGATCAACATTGTGGCTTAAATAACTGCCGATTAAATTTGAGATTTGTTCAATTCACTTCAGACTCTTTGAAAGTCGCTATTTCTACAGATAATTGGTCGAATATTCGTTGATGCTTTTTGAGAATTGTTTAACTCCCGGACCATGATCAAGATCTGTTAGCTACTTTTGAACACTCGAGGATCGTGACGACTGATCATGTTTTCATTAATATCTTTCTCTCGCTTTGGACAAAACCAAACGACATTTACAATATAGATATATAACAATTGATATTTAAATCTCATCCTTAAATCTCATTAGAATAAAAAAAAACCTAATAAATATTCTATTAAGCGATTTAACCGATTAATATTCAAATCTGTTGATAGAGTAAAGCTAAGAGCACCTTGAGCCGGCTGACTCTCCTCCACGTATGTAGTGTTGGTTTTCTCCAGGTCATCACTGGCTCTGAACGTCAAACACACACAAACAACATCATAATGTGAGAATATCGGCATCATTCATCCCAACACTCCAGCATCTGAGCTGTCTTGATTTGTTTAAGAACGCGACACACACACACACACCTGAAAGCGGTGTATTCTGAGATAACAGACACACACACACACTATATGTGCGGATGAACAGGTTTCTACGGAGCCCCTCTAGTCCCACTTTGGTAAAAAAAATTAATTATAACTATCTTGTGGCCTCAAGATTAGGGTTGGGTATCGTTTGAATTTGAACGATTCCGATTCCTTGTTTCGATTCCGGTTCCTAACGATTCTCGATTCCGATTCTTTTAAGAGGCGGGGTCAAAAAAGTTTAGCTAACCTTGCTAACCAACGGCCTTTCTGAAGGAAATACTCCTTCGGTAAAAATACTCCTTTTGTCACAAATTTTGCATTTTGCCGAGATTTCGTTATTTTTAGAAAAGTGAAGCCACACTTTGGATCGCCGACGTAAGCTACTCATGTTCGACTCGCGCGGTTATGCCAACACTTCCGGTAGACGCTTCTTCGTTGGTGTTGTCCAGCGGTTTCTTCTTCCGCTCGGCGGACTGTGAATATCGAAACTAGGAATCGAAATTTTAACTTTTGAACGATTCCGGGAAAAACGAAAAGTTAGTCTCGGTTCCAATCGATACTCGATTCTCGATACCCAACCCTACTCAAGATAGAGTTAGTATCTCGAGGCCACGAGATAGTTATAATTATTTTTTTTTACCAAAGTGGGACTAGAGGGGCTCTGTAGGTTTCTCCAGTATTCGCAGTTAAAAACACTTCGTGTTGTGCTAATGTTGACCTGGAGTATCGTCGTTCTCCTCGACAGCATCGATGACAGAAGACCAGAAGAACGGACAGAACCATCAGCGTCCCGCCGGCGAACACACACACCATCACCATCAGAAGCACGTAGTTCTCCTGAGAGCCCGACACCAGAGGAACGTCCTGGAACACACACACACACACACACACGCTTCTGTTAATATTTCACAGAAAAGTTGGACTCAGAAACCCTCCAGAATACCCAAGAAACCCCAGTTCTGTCAGGACCGCTATTGTCAAATACGATTGACAGTTAGCGTACACTTTGGACCGGCGGTCTGGTTCTGTTCACACAACATGAAACATGCAAACTATATAGCAGATTGTATAGAATGTAACAATGAGCCACCGAGAAAAGCATACTAAAAACAAGGAGCCCATTGTGTAAAAAGAAAGATACGCATGCGCAAAGAAGGTTGCCCCAATTAAAAATAAAATGATGATGCAGGTGTTTTTAATCTGGGAGGAGTAATAAGGAGGAGCAAAGAGAGAAAAGATAACGATTTGAGCGCTAATTAGGTACCACAAGGTATAAGAAATAAGGTCAGCTGGCATCTCACTTTGTTGAACTGCTCAATAAAGTTAAGACCTCAAACTTCGACTCTGAAAGATTTTTTAAACCGGATTTTGATGACATGATTTGAAGACTTATAACAGCGATAACCCCACTTACACTGTGTCCTAACTAAACGCGACGCGATAAAATTCGCGTTTCGCCGTCGCGTCTGGTCAGGAAAAAACTCTGATTAACATGGAAGAGATACCGTTTATCGCGCGTCGCGTGTAGTTAGGACGCGGTGTTAGGGTATACAGAACAGAACCAACTGAATTTATTGCAAGTATCATTGATTAATAAAGATTTTAATGTAGGTACAACATAATTGATAATTTAGTCTGATTCGAAAGGGAATTAGAATGCTAAATGCTGACGGAGACAGGTGGAGCTGGGCTATTCAATACTGAAGTTATGAGTATTGGTCTGAATATTCAGTCCCTCCAGAAAAACGCGATTATGCGATCGCTGAATTCAATGCAAAATCAGCCAAAGTCCGCATATTTATGCGGGGGCCGCATTTTTTTCAAATACGCCGCACTTTCGCCGCATAAATTGCCGATTTCCTTGCAAAATATGCGGGGTTTGCATAATTTCATAATCCTCGCATTTTCGTTGCAAAAAAAGTCACATGTATCTTAGCAGAAAGTTGAAAAATGTTGCGTTTGCTTCACACAAGAGCAGCCATTTCCCCCTGTTTCCATGGGAACGTTATGAAGCGACGCAATTACGCGACGCCAGACAGACTCACGGAGGCGATTGACGACATCTCACAAATCAAACTCGTATAACTGTCTGTCACACGTTCTACCGTCACATCGTTACTTAATAAACAACATAAGATAAAAGAAGTAGCATCAAACAGAAATTACCCGCACACATGGGGTGTTTGAGGCGCACATATAATATAACACTGCAGAGAGTTCAACAGGAGCGCGCAGCTCTTAAAGGGGCCACGCCTTATTTACACTCGTTACAGTCTGAAATAAAACAAGATGAGAAATTAAATATTCCCAGCACTTTCTATGATGTAGTATGCTTGCTTATCAAAGGAAGTAATAAGAAATGACTCTTACATGAGCCTAGTGAGAACAGGATGTTGGGGGAATCACTGAAAAAGAGAAATCTTTTTCATCAAACCGCAATTTTTGCAAGTTCTCTCAATTTTTGCAAATTTCTGTAATTTCATCGCATAAAATTGCATAAATATCCCGCATATTCCATCGCATTTTTAAAGAAAACGGGCCGAGTAATCAATCAATTTTTGCCCGCAACAATCACACAAAAAAACTCCGCGTTTTTCTGGAAGGACTGAATACTATTATGGTAAATGTTATATATAAATCGCACATTTTTTCACAAATTTTTGGAAATTACCACCACAAAATCAGTCATTTTGATCGCAAAAATCACAAAAAAAAAATCGTGAAATCCTGGAGGGACTGTGTATTGTCTTCGAGTGCCGCTTTACAGCTGAATATGAATTTGTCTCATATTTGATGAAGTTTGCATCATTGATTCTGTGTATTACTGTGAGGCTGCTTTAGAAACGCTCCACTAATGCTGTCAGATTAAAGGCGTAATTCACCCCAAAATCATCATGTCATCGTTTACTCAACATCTTATTGTTCAAACCCGTATGCCTTGCTTTCTTCAGTGGAGCTGCGGCAGATGTTGGAGAAATGTGTTATTTTTGTCCATATAATGAAAGTCAAATAACTTCAGGTCAAGTCCTACAGGTTTGAAGGACATGAGGACGAGTAAATGATTCACTATCCTGGTTTACTCCTCTTCATTAAATATCCATAATTCATCTGTGTGGTAAGTGAATGTACTGGAGACGTCTGATAGTTCTCCAGTGTCTAATAATAAGTAACTGTGAGAGATGATGAAGCGCTGGCCGACTGTACGTAATCAAAACTCTAATGAAAGATCTTCAGTTTGTCTCTCTGAATGCGAAACAAGGACATAGTGCGCTAAAATTAGTCAGAATTAGGCCACTGAGGAGTGTGTGTGTCTGATTTCACTTTCTGTGATGTGAAATATAATTATGATCTTGTGTGTGTGTGTGCTCATGAATGTTTAGTGCGCACGACTGGGACAAACACAAGCTCCTCCCAGGGGTTTCCCTCATGCGAGGTCAATCTGTCCATCCCGTGGGATCAGCGTCTCCATGGCGACAGCATCCCTCACCTGAGGTCCTCATTAAAGAACAGGTGAATCACTCCTGACTCCAGATCAGCCTTTATGCTCATATGCATAATCCATACTAAACATGGTCCGTATATTTCTACCTCAGATGCTATTATTATCTAAAATAGATTTAACAATATTAGTTTTGTTTTTTGTCGTCCGCAGCGAATGAACTCGGAAAGAAACTGATTGAGATGGACTCACACTGATCTCCTGCATGTTTTGTGTGTTGTTACACAGTACTTACACTTTCATTTCTTTAAGGGGAAATGATGACACATTTCCAATAGTCGATTTGGTTATTTTTTGAAAAAGTTACTATGGTAACCAGTGTGTGTGTGTGTGTGTGTGTGTGTGTGTGACCCGTGTTTGTTGGCAGTGTGTTTTACTCACAGTGGTGAGGCGGGTCTGTAATGGAGACTCATCACTCATGGTCCAAAAGCGTGTGTGTGACGCCTGCAAAAGCAGAAGAGAGAGAGAGAGAGAGAGTGAGTCTGTCATTGAGTGAGTGAGCGAATGAGTGAGTGAGCGAGTGAGTGAGTGAGTGAGCGAGCGAGTGAGTGAGCGAGTGAGTGAGCGAATGAGTGAGTGAGTGAGCGAGCGAATGAGTGAGTGAGTGAGCGAGCGAATGAGTGAGTGAGTGAGTGAGTGAGTGAGCGAGCGAGTGAGTGAGCGAGTGAGTGAGCGAATGAGTGAGTGAGTGAGTGAGCGAATGAGCGAGTGAGTGAATGAGTGAGTGAGCAAATGAGTGAGCGAGTGAGTGAGTGAGTGAGTGAATGAGTGAGTGAGTGAGCGAATGAGCGAGTGAGTGAATGAGTGAGTGAGTGAGCGAGCGAGCGAGCGAGTGAGTGAGTGAATGAATGAGTGAGTGAGTGAGCGAATGAGTGAGCGGATGAGCGAGTGAGTGAGTGTGTGAGTGAGCGAATGAGTGAGCGAGTGAGTGAGTGAGTGAGTGAATGAATGAGTGAGTGAGTGAGCGGATGAGCGAGTGAGTGAATGAGTGAGTGAGCGAGTGAGTGAGTGAGTGAAATGAATGAGTGAGTGAAGCGAGTGGAGTGAGTGAGCGAATGAGTGAGCGGATGAGCGAGTGAGTGAGTGAGTGTGTGAGTGAGCGAATGAGTGAGCGAGTGAGTGAGTGAGCGAGCGAAAGAGTGAGTGAGTGAATGAGTGAGTGAGTGAGCGAATGAGTGAGTAAGTGAGTGAATGAATGAGCGAATGAGTGAGTGAGCGAGCGAAAGAGTGAGTGAGTGAATGAGCGAAAGAGTGAGTGAGTGAATGAGCGAGTGAGTGAGCGAATGAGTGAGCGGATGAGTGAGCGTGTGAGTGAGCGAGTGAGTGGATGAGTGAGTGAGTGTGCGAGTGAGTGAGTGATTGAGTAAGTGAATGAATGATCGAGTGAGTGAGCGGATGAGTGAGTGTGTGAGTGAATGAGTGAGTGAGTGAGTGAGTGAGTGAGTGAGTGTATGTCCGTTCTAATGGGTCACAGACAGCAGAGAAACACAAAGCTAAATGCAAATCACACAATAAATCCATATACTCAATCACAGTCAGAGAGTCAGTCATCGTTTAAAAGCGACGAGAGAACTCTCCTCAAAGACTGATAGAATCAACTCTTCTGTCGATCAACACACACTCATCCGTCATGTGGTCATTTGTATAATTGTGACTCAACAGTGATTGTTCTGCACTCTTAGAAGAAAAGGTTCTATCAGCGCTACATATTTGGAACCCCTAAAAGGTTCTATACACTCTTAAAAAAGGGTTCCTCTGAGTTCTATATAGATCCCTGGGGTTCCATACTTGGCCAATAGAACCTTTTTTAAAAAAAATGGTTTTAAATAGAACCATTTTGGAGTTCCATATATGAAGCGGGGGATGGAACCATTTCTGGTTCTAAATAGAACCATTTCTTCTAAGAGTGTGTGTGTGTTTTCGGCTGTTAAATCTCTTCCTCGCCTCCGTCTATATGTCATGCTAATGCGTTTACATGTGTGTGTGTGTGCAGGTCAAGCCGATGCTGATGAGAATGTTAATCACAGGTGTGTGACGTGAAGTGAAACGGGCCGAGACGCACCGGACTGTGACGCTCTGGTAGGACTGATGCTGCTTAAACACACTCTCACACACACACACACACACACACACTTGTCCAGTGAACTAGAAGCCATAAAAACACTCAAACATCCGCTTTATTCAGCATTCATTAAAGCTCTTTAATTCTGACCGCAATTAAACAGCGAGCCGATGCTTCCTGTGTGTGTGTGTGTGTGTGTGTGTGTGTGTGATGCTTGGAAACTGAGTGTCCAACGGCACATTGAGTATTCATGAAGAAAACTACTGCTCCAACACACTCTCTCACTCTCACTCTCACACACACACACACATACACTCACTGACACACACTCAGTCACACACACACACACACACACACACACACTCCTGGCGGATGTGATCTGGGGCATTATGGGATAGATGAGGCTGTGGTGAAAGTAGGACACACAGAATCTGCATCGTTCGGATTTATTAATAAAATCTAGAGAACAGGAAGTCATGTGACCGACACAATGCTGGCCTATATTTGATATTTATATTTTATATTATATTTGTTAAGGGGTACAAGTAAAAATTAGCTGATAAAATACTTCTCTGTTTTAAGATATTGTGAGTAAATACCATACAACAACATCTTTATGTACATATTAAAATAAAATTGTTATATTTTATACATAAACACACACACACATATTACATAAACACAATTGTCTGTTAGATGCGATTAATTTGACAGAAATTGCGACTATATTTAACTAATTAATGTATTATATGCAGTAGTTTAGTCATACTATCTTAATTTATATTTTATTTATATAATAATATATGCTGAACATTAATTATACATTTTAAAACTTTTTACATCGGAATATGGAAATATTGTTCAGTCTCACTAGTCAGTAAATTCATTGAAAATAAATTGAATATGAATTATGAGTGTTGTGACGTGTGTGTCTGAATGATGTAAGCAGGTTTCGTGAGATCTGCACATGTGAACGCATTGAGACACACACACACACACACACACGTTACATAAAGCCTGTGTGAGGTGAATGATTTATCTGCAGTGTGAAACACACACACACACACAACAGCCTTTTGTTGCTCACGAGCGTTTTACAGTTAATCCGGCGCGCGCGACCGGTAACGCGCGCGGCTTGTTCGGTTCGCTTACGTCACTATTTCTGTTTTGAACGAGAGAGTCTTTTAAATGTTGATGCATCGCGATTCGCGACGCTACAGTGAAAAGACGCGACGATCACGAGACGCGCGCAACGCACCGCACATTCCCATCAACGCGGTTACATTATTAACCAAATACGCGTTTTGTTGATTCATTGATTCGGACGCGTGCATAACGCGCTTCATCATCATCCTCAGTGCATTAAAGCATGTCCAGTCAAACGCGGGCACGCGGATGAGCGCCAGATGTGTCGGTGTGTGAAACATCAGGACTGCGCGCGGGAAACACTCACCTATCCGTAATGCATGCTGTTATAAGCGCTCACCAATGGCACGAGCTCCAGTGCGCGTTACATTCATCCGAACGGCAGCAGAGTTTATGAATGAAACTCGGGGTGAAGACACGCCCACTGGCGCTGAAGACACGCCCACTGGCGCTGGTGACGCGAGCGGTGGGATTCCTCCTCGGTGTGCGTCAGAGAGGATGAAGATGAGGATGAGGAAGATGATGATCACTCACTGCAGAAATGCACCGATTCACAAAAGCGCTTGGGTTCAAACAGAGCCAGTTATAGTTATTATTAGTTATTACTTGCTTATTAATATCGTGCATTTGGGGAATTGCGCATGAAATGTGTGAGAAGCAGAACCAGAGCGCGTGCGCTTTATACTAATGCACATTTACACTGTTCATATTCTGTAAATAAAAATCATTCTGTAAGATGGAAATAAAACAAAGATTATTTAGAGAACGGGTTTACAACAAAATATAAAAAATGGCCAAAAGGTTTTTTTTGTTTTTTTTTCGCACGAGCTCAATTCTGTTTTATGTTCATTGATGAAAAATATTCCAGTATCTCTACTGAAACAGATTCAGATGTGTGTGTGTGTGTGTGTGTGTGTGTGTGTGTGTGTGTGTGTGTGTGTGTGTGTGTGTGTGTGTGTGTTGACGCTGACTGACGTGTGTGGAACAGGCTTCGTCACTGAAGTTAATATAATCTAATAATGCACAAGCTCTTATTATTTATTTATGGAAATGTGCAAGTGTGAATGCAGATGACAAATATTGCAAATAAATATGCAACTTACATGTAAACAGAAACACATTCTACAGGATTGAGGAAAAGCTAATAATTAAGCTATAAAACGTCAAATTAAAATAATTTAAAAACACTTGCAATCAAAATAAAACACTTGCTAAAATTAATTAAAAAAAATAAAAAATAAAATAAAGAATTAAAATATTTTTAAATATGAAAAAATAAAACACTTACTAAAATGAATGAAATCATACATTTTCTAAATTAAAACAATTAATGCAAAATAAAAGACTAAAATTAATCAAACCATAAAAATCTGACAAATTAAAATAATAAAATGAATGCAATCCAAATAAACACTCACTAATTAGCCTAATTAAATAATGAATAAATATGAAATGAAATGAAAAATAAAAACCATATCAAAATAAACCACACTAAAATTAACTAAACAACCATAATTGCAATTAAAATAGAACAGTTATTAAATCATATAAATTGAGAATTAAAATATTTTCTAAAATGAATGCAAAATAAAGCAGTCACAGCGCTGCAGTTCCCGAGACTGACACACGGCGGCGCTGTTTCTCTTCATGTCAAATCACGTGTTGCACAGCATCATTGCTCTGAATGTCCCTCTTTGATCCTTATAAAGTGTGTGTTTAGTTGTTTCTTAAGTGTGTGATGCATGAAAACCTGTCCTGGTCCAACATCAACATCAGGACGTCCTCTGTGAAACAGTGTTGGGGAAAAGTTACTTTTAGAATAATGTGATACACACTCCTCCTCACTTCATCTCTCTGATCAATGATCTTGGGGACAGGAGAGCTGTCAATCAAGAAATGTGAAAAAGTAATGCGTTGAAAAAGTAATCAGATTACGTTACTCAAGCCACTTGCAATGAGTTACACACAACACTGCAAATGTACGTCACGGTCGTGTGTGTGTGTGTGTGTGATTACTGGAAGTCATCAGAACCGTGGGTTTGAGCTCTTCCTGTCGACTTCCTGCGTTAATGAAATCATAGACGAGTGAAAACCACTTCATGTTTCTGTGTTCACTTCATCTGAGTCTCGCCAACATCTGCCAAACACACACAACACACACACAGCAAACCAGAAGTGAAAGTTATCAGGTAAAACCGGTTGTGTGTGCCGCCGCTGCTAACCTGACCTTTGACCTTCTGCTCCTAGTGCTTTTTAATGAGGCGTTACCATTCATAAATGTGGAGGAAGGAAGAAAAAAAATGATCAAAAGTGAAAGTAAAGACATTTATAATGTCACAAGATTATTTCAGATAAAAGTTGTTTTGAACTTTCTATTCATCAAAGAACTTTGAGTCAGTTTCCACTTAATTACTCGAATATATGTTTATTAATCATCAGATCCTCATATTAGAGTGATTTCTGAAGGATCATGTGACACTGAAGACTGGAGTAATGATGCAGAAAATACAGAGGAATAAATTACACTTTACTGTATATTCACATTCAACACACACACACAGTCTGTGCATTCCAACAGTGCAGCTCTGAATGCAGCAAGAACATTCTGAAGTAGAAATTAGTAGAAGTAGAATAGTATCAAATTAATCAAAACTGCAATTAAAGACATTTATAACGTTACAAAAAATATTATATTTCATATTCATCAAAATATTAGACAGCACACCTGCATTTACCATCAAATTGTGCAGTAGTTCTTGTAAAACACACCCCAATAATCTTATAGTAAATCTTATCCAGTGTGTGTGTGTGTGTGTGTGTGTGATGATGACTGGACTCTCTGCGGTAACTGCAGCTTTTACAGTGTTTCACTGACAGAGCAATCAACGCGTTATTTCTGAATGTTCTCTGAACGTTTAAAACAAAACTAAATAGTAACGCAGAGTTAAAGGAAGCGTTCAGTGTGTCCTTCTGCAAATATTGTGGGAATGTTACTTTTGAATGTTCTCGGAACGTTCTGAAACAAAAAGTAACATTTAAAAAAACGAAAGCAAAAATGTATCAGAAAAAGAAACATTCCATGATCGATGTATGAATAATGTTATTGTGCTAACCAGTGTTGGGTGAAGTTACTCTAAAAAAGTCATTAATTACTAGTTACTAATTACCTCTTCAGCAGTGTAATTAGATTACTGTACTAATTACTCTCTCTATAAAGTATTTAATTACTTCCCATATCAATCTCAACCAGCTGAATAACACAAGGATAGACATGAATCTGTTTTAATTCTTTCAAATAAATACTATAAAATTGCATGAATTATCCTTAAACTCAAGGTTACATTATAAAAACATACTTTTTAGCATCAGACAATACATTTTGATGTGAAACCCACTCTGATCTCATGACATTTCACACTTTTTTCATGCATATTTTACAATAATTCATATGAATTTGTACGAGTGCGGTCGTACGATTTAGACGCCTCATAAAATGCGTACGGATCGCTGTGAGAACGGATTGATACACAGTATTTACCACAATTACAATTAATTAAATTACAGATAAATGAAGAGTAATCCCTTACTTTACATTTTCAAGGGAAAAATAATGAAATTACAGTAACTAATTCACTTTGTACTTACTTACAGCAATAATCGGCCGAGTGTCGTCTTTAATAAGAGATCAAACTTCTGTCGCTCTAAAGCGTTCAAGATTTTCCTCAGTTTAAATGTAGTTTTCAGGTCTATATGCTCAAAAGTGTATAAATGGATTATAAACACAGCGCAGATATAATTTAGTGCCATAAAATCCCCTAAAAAAACACCAAATATTGAACAAATAAAAATGATTGAACTAGTATTTCATTGAAATAATAAATAAATGTCACTCTTTGTTTCAGCGACACACAGAGTGTTAAAGTGATTGTCTATGACGTTGCTTATCAAAGCAAGTATAATGTGTTTCACACACACACACACACGTCCTGACTAACCCATGAGTAACTCGTATTACTTCATAATTCACCCCGGCATGGACTGTAAAACAACAACACGCGTCATGTTGCAGGAATGTTCTGCTCCAGGAACAGGGCTGGGATTTCCACTCACACAAATACTCGACATTCCTCTGAGTTTGAGCAGACTCGTCCCGTAACACACACACACACACACTAAAGCATGAACCCGAGGTGATGAAGAACAGCAGATTGGAAAAAGAAGAATGTGATCTTGAGTCACGCCTAGTAGACGAGTGACACTCGTGTGGTGATTCATCATGATCTTAATATCACATCAAAATAAACATCAATCTCTGAACTGCTGATAACGAGGTCAAACTCATCAGGACTGTTGGACAGATCACAGTATTTATCTATGATTCATGTGTTCATAACGTCCTCAGAGCTAATACAGTTCAGATGCAATGTAAACAGTAAAGTAGTAAATGAAGAGATCTTGCAAGTTCAGTATGGAGTACCACAAGGCTCAGTGCTAGGACTGTTGCTGTTCACCCTGGATTCAACATTGAATTTTATATATATATATATATATATATATATATATGTATTAGGGATGCACGATATATCGGCCAGTATATCGGTATCGGCCGATGTATGTTCATTTTTAATGTTATCGTTATCGGCCTGGTAAGAAAATGTGGGCGATATTAAAGCCGATAAATGATGTATTGTTCCCATCAGCTGAGACACTTGTTGAGCACTGTTTATGTTTTTTAATTTCTTGAAATATGATTGAAATCTCTTCAAAAAAATTAAAATACGTTTCGGTGCAACATGTGCAGCGCAAATCTGTTAAATCGGCTACATAACACTATAATGAGAACATCAATATAATTGTGTGCTTGGGACATGGGTTTAATTGTGAGACTTTTGTTTTTGTAATCAGATATCGGTTATCGGCTTTCAAATATCAAGAATTATCGGTTATCGGTATTGGCCAAAATTTTCATATTGGTGCATCCCTAATATATATATATATGTAATCAGGTACAGTTTATATTTATTAATATTGCGACATCAAATCGACATAATAGGGATATCGATTAATTAACCCTTGTGCTGCATTAGATTTTTAACACCGTTGAGTGCATTAAGGACCAAAAATGGCCACATATTAAACATTGCCTAAAATATTATATATTATTATTATTTTCCACTTTTACCAAGTTAAATCTTTTAACCAGCATCAGTCCTCATCATAACTACCAAAAATGTATTCAATTTCAGGATTTTAACCCTTTAATTACCAGTTTTGTTTGCGAAACCATCGATTTGTATAAGAGGAAAAAACACAAAAATTCAATTATTTTCAATAAACTAAATGCAAAGAGAAAACTTTAGATTTGGATTATCACAGTCCCACTTTGCAAAAAATCCCACTTAGCGCGTTAGAGACCAAAAATGGCCACCTATTAAACAATGCCTATTGCCTAAAATAAGGTGCATTTCCACCCATAGGGAATAAATATGTAGTGACGTCATCTGGTGGAATACACTATATAATGCAAATATAATGCTTTTGCTTCAAAATGAAAGGATGTTTGTGCAAAAATCATGTTTCATGTATTACTGACAGCCTCAGATTTAAACAACGTTTTAATGGGTTTCAATGGGCCATTTTTGGTCTTTATGGTGCTGAGTGTTACTGTTTGATCTACAGTATACATATTATATTATACATTATACATTATACAATATAATTACATTATACATATTTTGCAAAATGGGATCACATTTTTTATATGTATCCAAAAAGTCACAATTTTGCCAAATTTCATACCATTTGCATTAAAACAGCCAAAATGGTCAAAGAAGAAACTAAACTGCAAAAGACCAAAAATGTCCCTAATGCAGCATAAGGGTTAAATAGATAATCTAGAAATCTAGTAAATATAAATAACACAAACAACTAAATGTCTGTTCTTGGGCAAACATAAACTAATTATTTTCCTAATTTATATACATTAATAAAGAAAGAAAGAAGAAGTCATTGTGTGAAATCTTCAGAAAACGTGGTGAAAATGTGATGATGTTATCAATTCCAGTTTAATCTCAATCCAAGAATCAGATCATAGTGTTTGAGTTATTAAATGGAATGCTTCTCTGTTATGAATGATCTCAGGGTTCGGACGCTGATTGGAGCGCGCTGCATATATGTGGGTGTCACGACCGGTCCGCTGATTGGCTGAGACGCGGGGGGCAAGCGTGTCCGCTAACGCTATTGGTTGTTAGTGGGGTGGGCGGGATCTGTCAGCTGCGGGATCGCAACAAATGTAGCAGCAGAAGCGCTACACACACACACACACACACACACAGAGTACACCGAGCAAAGCAATCGGCTTAGACTTAGAATAAAGCGCGTTACGAGGCGCTTTTGTCCACTAATGTTTGGATCCGAATGGCCTGTTGATAGTGATATTTTGTCGTCTTTCTGTGACGCGACACAGTAAACATAGAAAACAGCAGCGACGCGGAAGGAATATCGCGCTGATCATGGAGCGGAACCCCGAGGCGCGGAGCTGCAGAACCCGGTGTCCGGAGCTCCTGCTCGGCGACTCGTCCATGAAGCTCTCGGTCCACTCCACCACCGGGACGCGGTTCGAGCTGTCGGTTCCCCCGGAGGAGACCGTGGACGGGCTGAAGAGGAGACTCGCGGAGAGACTCCGGGTTCCCAGAGACAGACTCCTGCTTCTGCACCGAGACCTGTGAGTCAGTCCACCGGGATCGGGATCAGTTCTGGGGATCATAACGGGATCGATAGACAACAACACGGGCGGAAGCTTAGTTTGGGATGGGGAAGCGGGCAACCCTAATATTTATATGCCATTTTGTTATTGTTTAATGAAATGATTTGTTCAGATCAGTTTAGTTATGTTTATTCAGTTCAGGTAACGTTACAAAATCGGTCACTGGGAAATGTTCTTCTAATATGTGCGATTTAGGTACTAATATGTGCACTAATGTGATGCTAATATTCACACTAAAGGGTTCCAGCTCACTGACAGCTTTTGTACCTTGAGAGTGCATGTTTTTGTTATTATTTAATGACATTATATGTGTTTTGTTCTAATGAGGATTTATCAGTATGAAACTGAGATCCTGCAGAGTTGATTTATAACGGTAACACTTTACAATAAGTTTATTCATTATATAATAGCTACTTTAGTTAAGATGAACTAAGAATGTCCCGCACATATACAGCATTTATTAATCAACATTTACTAATACATTATTTAAATCAAAGGTTGTGTTAGTTACCATTAGTTAATGCACTGTGAACTAACATGAACAGCTGCATTTTTATTAACTAACATTATTAAATGTATTGCCCATGGTTAGTTCATGTTACTATGAACCTTACTGTTAGCAGGATAGTCGAGTCAGCTTTATTTCTGCAGTTCTTTATTTTAAAAGTGATAAAGAGGGGAATAATCTTGAGTGCTGGAGAGGTGCATGATGGGAAAGCTCAGTGATTGTGTTGAGTGTCGGAGAGGTGCATGATGGGAAAGCTCAGTGATGGTGTTTTCGTCTCTTTAGGAGGTTGAACTCTGGGAAACTGCTGGACTTCGGTGTGGTGGACGGGAGCAGACTGACTCTGATGCCCACCGTCGAAGCCGGACTGATGGTAAATTCCAGAGTTAATCATGAGAAACTTCATTAAATATGAGGCAAATTCAAATAAAATGAGTTCAGTTCTGCTAAACGCAGCTTTAATCGTGTTATTATTCAGCGTAATGTATATTGAGCGTTGGAAATTTCATTAATTGTGAATAAAATTTTAATAGTGTTGTTTTTCATGTCAAACACAGTTCAACGTTGATTCAATTTCATTGCTTTATGAATGAATGTCATTCAGGTCAATTCAGTTTAATGTTGATTCAATTCACTTTAATAACAGTGTGAATATTGCACATTTTATTAATTAAAAATCGAATTCTACTTCAATTGTGTAATGTATCCAGTAATAACGGTTGATGTTGCAAATTTAAATAGTGTCATTTTTTCAAATAATTTCAGTTTAATGTTGATTCAATTCACTTTGATCGCAGTGTTGAGAATTTCGTCAATTATGAATCAAATTCACTTTCAACAGTGTCATTTATTCAGCTCGATTCAGTTCAATGTTGATTCTATTGACTTCGATAGCATCAGTTAATTGTAAACTAAAGTGTAAAGTGAATGTTTTTGGAGTTTGTTGTGAATTTTATCAACTATGAATCAAATTCAGTTTCACTAGTCATTCAGATCAGTTCATTGCTGATTCAATTCAGTTCAATAACTGTTGATGTTGCAAATTTTATCAATTATTTAGCAAATTCATTTTAAATACTCTAATATATTCAGATGATTTCAGTTTAATGTTGATTTAATTCACTTCAATAACAGTGTTGAGGTCAATTATGAATCAAATTCAGTTTCAATCGTGCATGTTGATGTTGATTCAGTTGGAGAGCATCAGTTCAGTGTAAAGTTTGTTTTTGGCCTCACATGTGAAGATCTGCTGAGTTTGTGATGTGTGTGTGTGTGTGTTTGCAGTCTCCGTCGAGGCGTTCGGAGCAGTCGGTCCTGCAGGCGCTGGAGACTCTCACAGATGCTCAGGTGAAGCTCTCGCTGTGGTCACACACACTTCCTCTTATACCGGCACACACTCATTCACTAGAACTCACACAATCACAATTCTAATGCGTTTCCCACTAACACGCCAACGCACGCACGCACACACACTCTCTGAGAGCGAGCAGCATGTGTGCTCCCCGCCGGTCGCGAGTCACAATATTTATAATGTTTTATGTTGAACAGATCAGAAAAATAAAAAGTTTCTGTTTTTAAGAATCTTCTGTTTTAGATCCTTCGTCTAACAGCGAAACCACATGTGTGTTTATATATCTGTGTGTGTGTGTGTGTGACTCGCCCCATCAGCGGGTCTGTGCGTCATTTTGGCAATGCTGAGCTGTTTGATGTCAGTTCAGTGTGTGTGTGTGTGTGTGTGTGTGTGTGTGGTTAGACTTGGAGAGAAACACTCAAGTATGATAAATGATTTCCTAGAACAGACTCGAGTTGAACTCTTATTATAACTCCTCTGTCGTCTGTGTCAGTTTACCTCCGAGGAACACACACTTTACTTAAAGCCTTTAAATAAAATGCATTGCATTATAAACATATTTTTAATGCATGAGTTATTCCTCGTAATGCACCTTATAACCACAGTAATAATACATTAAAACACTTCTCTATTCATTCTTACACCTTTAGAAGTATAATGCATTAAAACTAGGGCTGTGCAAAAATTAATCGCGATTAATCGCATCCAAAATAAAAGTCTGTGTTTACATAATATATTTGTGTGTGCTTAATACTAATTATTTTGTATATATAAATACCTATGCATGCATGTATATATTTAAGACTTATTTGCGCTTAAATTCTGTGTATATGTATATATATATAAATACATAATCTATATTATATAAATATAAATATTTTATATATGAATAACACATTTTCTTAAATATATACATGCATGTGTGTGTATTTATAAATACAAAATAATTATATACAGCACACACAAATATATTATGTAAACACAGACTTTTATTTTGGATGCGATTAATCGCGATTAATTTTTGCACAGCCCTAATTAAAACACACGATAAACAACCAATTTCAGATGAAACCGCAAAGGAAAACAGCAAATATTATAATGCATTTTAACATTGGTTACAATAAAATGATAACATGCAATGGTCAGAAAAATAATCTCAATTCAACGATGAAAACAAGATGATTCTCTGACTCCACTGGCAGATATTTGTTCTCGTTTTAAACACAAACTCACTTCATTTTAATAATTTTCTCTTCAGTCATTGTTCTTCATCTGCAGTAAATGCCTCTTGATTTAAGGATGTGTTAGATGTGTGTGTTCTAGAAAACGAGACAGAAACACTGAGGAGGAACATCATATGTGCAGTGTGTGACTCAAGCGTGCAGCCTTTGTGCAGTAGATTTGCTGTTTTGTGTGTGTGTGTGTGTGTGTGTCGTTATCTGCTGTAAGATGTGGTGGTGAAGCTGTAGGTATTTTTAACCTGGAAATCCTCCTGTGAAGTGTGTTAGAACAGCCCTCGACTCAACCGTCAACAGCTCCTGTTGTCTACACTGTGTGTGTGTGTGTGTGTGTGTGTGTGTGTGTGGGTGGGTGGTGCTTCAGGAAGTTTGTTTTGTCAGGTTTGAGCGTGTTCACTGTTTCTCTCTCTGAATGAAACATGTCCACCAAAATTACATTTTTCCTTGAGAAATGTTTATTAGTGTCTATCTTGAATGTAACTCGACACCCCCACCTCATTTATTATGTTCCGCGGAGCAAATGATCCCCGCCATTAAAGCGTATTAAAAACACCACATACACACAAACAACTTTAAACGCTCTATTTCCGTCATAGGAGGAGTGTAAAATGATTAGGTTTGGTTTTTTTTTTATCTTCTTCTCCAGTAAATGTCTTTTGATTTGAGAATGTTTATATATTTGTGCTGTAAAGCGAGACGGAAACACTGAGGAAAAGCGGGATTTCTCTCTTCTCTCCAGGTTTATTCCTCTCTCCTGTAAAGATCCTCCGGGATCTTCGTGTCAGGGGAATCTCTGGCCTTTCCGTTCATCATCATTGGAAATCATTTGCTCTTAATAGCGTAGCGCGATCAATAGTCTTCCCAACGCGAGCCATTTACTGACGCTCGATGCTCATTACTCCGACGCGAGCTTCACTCACACTCCTAACCGCGGGATTTAAGGGCTTTTCGGTACCAGACGATCATTTTAGTCATTTTTAAATAGTATTCTTAAACCCATTCAATCCAGTTGAATTAGGATGTTCTGTAATGGTAAGCGGAACTCATTAATGTAATTATCTTTGTAAATATGTCGAATAGAGTGCCGAAGTGATGACGTCACTTTGTAGGACAACTCGGAAGCTAGCGTCGCGGGCTCCCTCAGTCGAAAAGCAATGCATTTTCCTCAAAGACTTTTGGAAAATCGCAAAAAATAAGATCTGCGTTTAACAAAGAGTTGTGACCCTTACACGTTTTGTCTATCAAGATAATCTTTACAAGTTAATCCAAAATTTATACATTTTGAAGCCTATATAAAGATTTTTTTTAAAAATTTAATTTCATAAGCAGAAATGCGTGTTCTATGTCATAGATCAAAACGTGAAAATATTTAGAGGCTTTGTTCACCACAGACCTTATTTCAGGCGATTTAGCAAAAACGCATTCAAAAATCCCATAGGCTTTAGAGTGAAGGAACCGTAGTGCTAAAATGCTAACTCACTTCCGCGTACAGAGTGACGTCGTAACTTCGGCACTCTATACAGTTGACGTGTTGGCTAATTAATTCTGAACTGCTCTGAAACGCCTCCATTGTATCTTGAGTTTCTCCCGGAATGAACACGTCTCAATATTCCTCATTATAATAATTAATGTGCAGAATAAAGGGGCGGGGCCTGGTTGAGTTAGTTAGTAGTGTGTTAAACTGGCGGTTATGGAAAGGGGCGGGGCATTTCCCAAACACACTCAGCACTGGACTAATCACAACACACCGCTCCAGCCGACTAATCAGAGCGCAGTGTGCTTTCAGGAGGAGGGGCTTCATAGAGACAGGAAGTAAACAGAGAGTTACTGACAGACTGGAGCTGTGTCTGAAATCGCTCCCTATCCACTAAATAGTGCACTATATCGGGTGTCGGCCATTTTGTAGTGGTGTCCGAATTCTGAGTGAACGACATCATTCCCTACATTCATTCACTACTTTTACCCACAATCCTCTCTGAATTCGAGTGTACATTCGATGTACACTCGCTGAAGCCCTATTTCCCACAATCCAATGCGGAGAGAACTGAGCGCGCATGTAAGTTCGGCGCGAGCAAGTTTAAACCAGAGATTACATTACATCCAGTGGAGGATTTGAAAAATATCCGTTAATCGTCGTTTTGAACATAATAACGGTCGACGGAGGGCGCTCGACGACACGTCATCTGTGAACGTGAGAGTTAATGTACAATTACAAAGCTGGCACGGAGGTATAATTACAAAATAAAGTCATTATGATTGTTATTGTTGTTAATATTATTTTATAAAGTAGGTAAAGTAAGATAAAAGGAGTTTTATCAGTACGCGTGACGAAGCCTTTTCTGCGACAGCTCCAACTCTCCGACGCACAGTGTAAACGTCAGCGTCCGAATTCACTCACTTCATCTCGTTCACTCCTTGCAGATATAGTGCACTCAAATGCCATACACTATATAGGGATTAGTGAATGAGTGAACGAGTGAGCGGTTTCAGACACAGCTTGGGAAGAGAGGAGCCGCAACACTGGAGAATATGAGGAGAATAATCAACATTCAAGCAGGAAAACATGATCTAGGAGCGCCTGAAACTACAGTGAGACTGGCGTAAGGGAGTGTATAACAGGTGCTTGAGGGATTTAATGTGCGTAATAAGAGCAGGAAGAAGCCGAATCGTAAACATATATATTTAAAGACTCGTGTAAAAGTTTAACGGGCATCATGTGTGTGTTGGTGAGTCGGTCTGTCTGCTGTCGAGATGTTTCTAACACACCGAAGCCGCTTTGCATGAGCGTGATCTCTCCGCCTGTCTTTGTGATTGAAGTGGTCAGTGATTCAGCGTCGTGACTCACTCGTTCCTGAGAGACGGATACTGAGCGTTTCATTCATTCACATCACACACACACACACACCTCAGGAGTTTTGGATTTCACAGGCTCACGCTTGTAATAATAATGTTCTTCCTCAGTGTTTCTGTCTCGTTTTCCAGCACACACACATCTACACATTCTTACATCAGAGAAGAAGAACTGAAGATATTAAGTCAAAAAAGTATTAAAGTGAACTGCTTAAAACAAGAGCAAAGATACTGGACATTTCGATTATGGACTTTCAATTTATGTTTTTAAGATTAACTAAAGTCTTACAGGTTTGGAACGACATGAGGGATGAGCTAACCTTAATATTGTTGAGCATAATTATTCAAACGCTATATAGTTAGCTGTTAAAGAGGCCATGTTGTGCTAGATCAGGCTTTCCTGCTTGAATGTTGATTATTCTCCTCATATTCTCCATTGTTGCGGCTCCTCTCTTCCCAGTCTGTCAGTATCGCTCTGTTTACTTCCTGTCTCTATGAAGCCCCTCCTCCTGAAAGCACACTGCGCTCTGATTGGTCGGCTGGAGCGGTGTGTTGTGATTGGTCGAGTGCTTTGAGTGTGTTTGGGAAATGTCCCGCCCCTTTCCATAACCGCCAGTTTAACACACTACTAACTAACTCAACCAGGCCCCGCCCCTTTATTCAGCGCATTAATTATTATAATGAGGAATATTAAGGCGTGTTCGTTCCCGGAGAAACTCGAGATACAATGGAGGCGTTTCAGGAGTCACTGATATAGAGGAGAACTGGAGCTTCTCATGATTAAACATCACACACACACACACACACACACTGGTGAGGATGAGGCGAGCAGTGTGTGTTGAGTTTCAGGGCGTTTGAGTCCGTCTGCTATCACTCTCTCCATCTGTAAACCGCTGTAGACCGCACTCTTCCGGGTGTCGCGTTGGTAAACACAGAGGATCTGCTGATGGAGGGTTGCTCGGGTGTTTCCTCCTGATTGGCTGATCCCAGACCAGCTTCAGTCGTCCTGCACATCTGTGAATGTCAGATTAACGTCTCGCCTTGCCTCTCTCGTGATCACTGAACGGAAACGAGTCTCTCCTCTAACTCTGCAACATTATATGCTTTATTAATTTATTTTGCATTGGTAACACTTCACAATAAGGTCTCGTTTGTTAACATTAATTAATGCATTTTAATTTGAATAATGCAACTAAAAAACTAAGATTTTAAAATATGCATTTGGCTGACGCTTTGCACATATACATTTTATCAGCTTAGTTACTAATTAATAATTAAATGTAATTTGTTTGCACCTTGAATGCTGTAGAACTAGTCATTGTCAGTTCGTGTCGGGTCATCTTTATTTATTTTGCGCTTTATACAATACAGCGTTTTCATGATCTCTAATGCGGTTAACAAATAAAACCTCACCTTGTGTGTGTTCACTGTGAGTGTGTGTGTGTGTGTGTGTGTGTGTGACGTCCGTCCGCACTGATCCGCTGGCTTTATGACGTGTCAGTCACTGCATTACAAACTACCAACCCTCGATTTCTGAGAACTGTAAATGCACTGGAGGCAAATTCCCAGAATGCTTTGCTGCTCGTCTTCACCCACAGCAGTGACTGATATCTGCGACTGAAGCGACACACACATCGACACACAGCCTTTAAAGGGGATTGAGTGTGTCCTTTTACACAGTTTTCCTGCTTGTTGCGGCTCCTCTCTTCCCAGTCTGTCAGTAACGCTCTGTTTACTTCCTGTCTCTATGAAGCCCCTCCTCCTGAAAGCACACTGTGCTCTGATTGGTCGGCTGGAGCGGTGTGTTGTGATTGGTCGAGCGCTGAGTGTGTTTGGGAAATGTCCCGCCCCTTTCCATAACCGGCAGTTTAACACACTACTGACTCACTCAACCAGGCCCCGCCCCTTTACTCTGCACATTAGTTATTATAATGAGGTGAGGTGACATCATCAGTGGAGGAGACTGTTTCTCAATGACTTTATAGAGTTTTAGGATTCCCTCGGCTGATCCGTCATCTCGTCTGCAGGAGCGGGAGATGCAGCACACACACACACACACACACACACACACACTTGCCCTTCTGCTTCTGTGGTTTGAGTGACACATGTGTGAGTCTGCTGTTGATTTCTGAATGAAACTCAGTTTATCTGCTGATACTATCGTAACCTGAGATACCCATTCATTTACTCATCCACTCATTCATTTAAACATTTTTAAAAAAAAAATTGTTATTATTTTTTTCCATTTATTTATTTATTTGCTCTTTTCAATTTATTCATTCAGTTATTTGCTAATTTTTTTGTGTAATTTTTCCATTATTTCTTACTTTTTATTTATTCATTCTTTCAATTCTTATTTTTTTTATTTAGTTATATTTTATGTATTTATTTATTCATATTAATTCAATCATTATTTTTTATATTCATTCAGTTATTTACTTATTTACAATTTTTTTTGTCTTTTTATTTATTTATTTTTTCATTTATCCAATTTGCTTTATTTATTCATTTTTTATACATTTATTTATGCATGTCATTTTTTTTTTTATTAGTTTAATTCTTTAGTCATTTATTTGTTTATTAATTTATTTATCCAATTCACTTTATTTATTCATATCTATCTATCTGTCTGTCTGTCTGTCTCTCCATCTGTATTAGAATAATATTGAATACTAAATATTGGGAATATCGGAATGGCTCTTTCTCTCTCCGATTCGGTTGTGGTCTCGTTGTCTAGTTTGTGATATATCTAGTATCCGGAGGTTGTTATTTGCAGTGACGGTTCAGTTCGGTTCGGTCACTGTACAGTTGTGGCTTTGATATTATGTTCAATAAATGATATAATAATGTTCTAAACGTGCAAGTCTCATTAACGTCTGTTTATCGTCTGGTTTGTGTCCAGGTCAGTGACTTCCTGTCGGGCCGGTCCCCGCTGACCCTTGCCCTGCGTGTGGGCGATCACATGATGTTCGTTCAGCTCCAGCTGGCGTCTCAGCCGTCCGTCTCCAGGGCTCCCAGCCAATCAGATGCCTCGATAGGCCTGGCTCCTCCTCGAACACACACAGACCACGCCCACTGCGGACAAAGCCCCACCCCTGCCCCGCCCCACTCTCAGGTAGTGCTGCTTCACTCTTTCCTGTTAAAAGTCTTGTTTTATAAAGAGAAAACCAGGAAAAAATCTCCCAGTGGGGTCAGAAAAAATATAGTTTTTTTGTTTTAAACTAAATTTATATTTATGTGTGTGTGTGTTAGGCTGAAGGTAGCTCAGACAGACAGCGATGCAAACCGGGCGCCGTCATCGAGAGCCTCGTCAATCACGCGCCTGGAGTTTTCTCAGGAACCTTCTCAGGTAAAGCATAGCTTCAGTGTCCTTCATATACTGTTACAGGATAGATAATATAGTTACGGAGCCCCACACGAGTGAGTGAGTGAGTGTGTGAATCAGTGAGTGAGTGAGTGAGTGAGTGAGTGAGTGAGTGAGTGAGTGAGTGTGTGAATCAGTGAGTGAGTGAGTGAGTGAATCAGTGAGTGAGTGAGTGAGTGAGTGAATCAGTGAATCAGTGAGTTTGAGGAAGTGAGTGAGTCATTGAGTGAGTGAGTGAATCAGTGAGTGAGTGAGTCAGTGAGCGTTTGAGTGAGTGAATCAGTGAGTAAGTGAGTGAATCAGTGAGTTTTGAGTTTGAGTGAGTGAGTCATTGAGTGAGTGAGTGAGTGAATCAGTGAGTGAGTGAGTGAGTCAATGAGTGAGTGAGTGAGTGAGTCAGTGAGTGAGTGAGTCAGTGAGCGTTTGAGTGAGTGAATCAGTGAATCAGTGAGTTTGAGGAAGTGAGTGAGTGAGTGAATCAGTGAGTGAGTGAGTCAGTGAGCGTTTGAGTGAGTGAATCAGTGAGTAAGTGAGTGAATCAGTGAGTTTGAGGGAGTGAGTGAGTCATTGAGTGAGTGAGTGAATCAGTGAGTTTGAGTGAGTGAGTCATTGAGTGAGTGAGTGAGTGAATCAGTGAGTGAGTGAGTGAGTGAGTGAGTGAGTCAGTGAGTGAGTGAGTGAGTCAGTGAGCGTTTGAGTGAGTGAATCAGTGAATCAGTGAGTTTGAGGAAGTGAGTGAGTCATTGAGTGAGTGAGTGAATCAGTGAGTGAGTGAGTCAGTGAGCGTTTGAGTGAGTGAATCAGTGAGTGAGTGAGTGAGTCAATGAGTGAGTGAGTGAGTGAGTCAGTGAGTGAGTGAGTCAGTGAGCGTTTGAGTGAGTGAATCAGTGAATCAGTGAGTTTGAGGAAGTGAGTGAGTGAGTGAATCAGTGAGTGAGTGAGTCAGTGAGCGTTTGAGTGAGTGAATCAGTGAGTAAGTGAGTGAATCAGTGAGTTTGAGGGAGTGAGTGAGTCATTGAGTGAGTGAGTGAATCAGTGAGTTTGAGTGAGTGAGTCATTGAGTGAGTGAGTGAGTGAATCAGTGAGTGAGTGAGTGAGTGAGTGAGTGAGTGAGTCAGTGAGTGAGTGAGTGAGTCAGTGAGCGTTTGAGTGAGTGAATCAGTGAATCAGTGAGTTTGAGGAAGTGAGTGAGTCATTGAGTGAGTGAGTGAATCAGTGAGTGAGTGAGTCAGTGAGCGTTTGAGTGAGTGAATCAGTGAGTAAGTGAGTGAATCAGTGAGTTTGAGGGAGTGAGTGAGTCATTGAGTGAGTGAGTGAATCAGTGAGTTTGAGTTTGAGTGAGTGAGTCATTGAGTGAGTGAGTGAGTGAATCAGTGAGTGAGTGAGTCAATGAGTGAGTGAGTCATTGAGTGAATCAGTGAGTGAGTCAGTTTGAGTGAGTGAGTGAGTGAATCATTGAGTGAGTGAGTGAATCAGTGAGTGAGTTTGAGTGAGTCATTGAGTGATTGAGTGAATCAGTGAGTTTGAGTCAGTTTGAGTGAGTGAGTCAGTTTGAGTAAGTGAGTGAATCAGTGAGTGAGTGAGTGAATCAGTGAGTTTGAGTCAGTTTGAGTGAGTGAGTCATTGAGTGAGTGAGTGTGTGCGTGTGTGTGTGTGTGAGTGAGTGAGTTTGTGTTAGTATGTGTGTGTGAGTGTGTATTCTAATGGGTCACAGACAGCAGAGAAACACAAAGTTGAATGCAAATCACACAATACAACCATATAATCAATGATCTAAGCACAGCGCAGTCAACAAGCAAACCATTTTATTTCGGTTAATGTTTCAATCTGGCTCACCTTGACCTCGTCTCGACCTCACCTTGACCTCTCCCTCCACAGGTACTCTACACCCGAACTGTCAGGACGGCAGCGGGCGTCCTCGCCGTGACATCACCACCATCCTCCAGATCCTCAACGACCTCTTGAGCGCCACACGTCACTTCCCCGGAGCGGCTCCGACCCTGACGCACCTCGGCTGCCCGACGCCCCGACCTCCGACCTGTTCACCTCCACCTTCACCGACCTCTGACGGGCAGCAGCACGGACCTCCGCGCCGGCCCTCCGGTGAGCTTAATGAGTTATTGCTAGAGTGTCTTTAAGAATGTGATGCATCCAGCCGGCTGATATCTTCATCAGCCTGAACACACACACACACACACACACACACACACACCTAAAGGGGTTTATTCTGAGATAACAACCGGACAAATCTTCAACAAAACAATGTTTTGAGGTGTGGTGACCGTAGTAAAAGCGGAATAATTGACTTCAGGCTGTTGAATTATTGAAAAATAAAGCAAATAAAGCGAGTCGTGAGTGTGTGTGTGTGTGTGTGTGTGTGTAAGAGGAAGTCATGTTTTCTGATGCCATCCGCTCACACTTCTCCTGTTCTCCTCTGATTCATCGAGCAGTGTGTATCTGCTCACTTCTTTTTTTGCACATCAGCACATCATGTCAGACTGAATCTAAACACACGAGCGGCTTCAGGAAAGCCGAAACCACTCCTCTAAAATATTGTATATCGATATAATATTTATATATAGAACCTCTTAAAATATAATCATCTGACTAAAATGGCATTTTTGCGGCTCGTCGTGTCTCATCTTCTGTTCTCTGAGCTCTGAATGAGACGTGACCTTTCAGAGGTCATCCGCGGGGTCACGCTGAGCTTTCAGAGGGTCACGACCCCGTTAGTGAACATTAACCAGCAGTACTGGCCTAACACACACACACACACACACACACACACTTATCTCTCCACACATCTTTCCAACACACTGGCTGCATGAATTATTTAGCATTGCTCATGAACACTCTGGCCCTCAGGGGTCTCCAGGAGCCTCGCAGTGTGTGTGTGTGTGTGTGTGTGTGTGTGTGTGTGTGTGTGTGTGTGTGTGTGTGTGTGTGACGTCTGGAGAGATCAGACCGCAGGTTGATTTATGTAAAGTTACAGTGAGGAGGAATAATCGAAATGCCAAAACAAGACGTTAATCAGAGGATCTCCGCAAAACTACATCAAGAACCATTTGTGTAATTTGTTTCTATCTTAAACTAAAGCTTATTACCTCACATAAAATACTACTCAATCATGAATACCATAATAGGTGTTTTTATATAAAAAGAACATTCAGAAACTGGATCTGACTAACGGTTTACACATAGATCTCCATATTAAAGGCTAAATCTCTCGTCCGCACTTCTGGCCAAAGGACGTAGACGTCCGCACTGGCGGCCATCTTGCCACAGGCAACTCGCTCACTCGTAGCTTTTTGTTTTAATGGTCACGTAGTTTTTAAATGACCATAACCTGCTCCATTTTCGACCGATTTTCAAACGGTTTGGTTTGTTATAAACGTCAGAGATGTAGTTATGACACTGCAGACTTGTGATTTGTGACTTGTAAATCTGTCAAGATTTCAACGAGATAAGAGTAATTGTGTTCGTGCTGATCACTCATCAGGAACCACAGAGCCGCCAGAAAGCTTGCCTGTGCCAAGATGGCCGCCGGTGATGACGATAGATTATATAGATATTTATTATCCTTTATTATAGATATCTATGGGTTTACATATATCAAAGCCGCCACACTAGACATTATTATTAATGGATGAGACGTGTGTGTGTGTGTGTTATCCAGCATTAATGTCAGGGAAAGACTCATTCGAGGAGTTTCTCTGCGTTTCTCCTCGTGATCGTGGCTTTTCTTTCAGGTTTAGAATCCAGTATTCTGTCATTCTTTTGTCTTTTATGAGTTTAACCTCTTAACTGTCACCCCCCCTTTTTTGAATAGACATGGAAATGCTCATTTCAAACTTATATGGTTGTAATTCAAGAATGCTTTGGAATATAGACTTAAGATTGGTCTCGTTTTAAAGAAGACATTTGGCAGATTTTTCTCGAATTAGGAAAGTGAAACAGAAAAAAGTTATAGAAGTCTGAGTTTATAGAAATGTACAATGTAAAAAAATTAATTATTCATATTTTATATAAAATATATATTTTCAAAACCTGGGCTACTCTAAAACTGCAGAAAAATCAAAGCCAAAAATCTGAACAAGTTGTGTTTCAAATTTTAGGTTGATATCTCAAAAAATGAGCTTTCAGTGAGATTTAGTTTGGGCGCAGTACCGAACGCTTCCACTAGGGCACAACCAGACTCCATTACTGCCCATATAAGTGCGCCTCCATTTCCATATGTGTTTTGAGTGATCTGAACCATTATTTTCACAAATTTCACACAATTTATGAAGTAGAAATCCTATTCAGATGTAGTATGGGTAGTTTGGCAGATTTTGATATGAATTCAACCTCTAGGAATCACATACAAAGCACACGCATGCGCGTTATAGCTTATTGCCATAACACAAATGGTGAATCTATTTTTTTTCGTAATATTTAAAACATTTTCAGACCTTTTTTTTTCTAAAATAATTGAATGGATGCTATCTTTTGAACTTTTGGCATGAAATCAAACTGAGGTTTCTAACTTTTTTTCATGTTCATTGCTATTTCAAAATAAAGGTCTAAACACGCTTTATGAGTACGAAAATATTCTTGTTGCAAATTGATAAATTACGGCTCATGTGTAAAATCAGTCACCGAATATGGAAACTAGAGATTGTAAGCTTTCAAATGATATATAGTTTGTCAATATTACTTAAGGTCTTTTCTAAGATATTATTGTTTTAAAAATATAATGGCAAGCGTCCCACCTGTGGTACGGTGACAGTAAACTAAAGAACTCCGTCTCATCTTCTGTCCAAACACACCCCTTCATGTACATCATGTGACTGTAAATGTGCAAAAACTCTTTTGCAAAATATTTCTTTTTCGAACCGCCTGAAAAACCTCTTCACGCGAGCGCCAAAAATGTACGATAAATGGATGTTTTTGCAAAATGTATTGTGCATATTTTCAGTTATCACCGCGGCTGATGTGTGTGTGTGTGTGTGTGTGTGTGTCTCAGGTGAGCGCGTGCGTCAGACGGAGAACAGGACCACACGCTGTAAGCTGGAGCAGCTGCGGCTCTTACTGCGGCAGCGGCGGCTCCGGCGGAGGGCTCGGAGGGACACACGGACCCCGCTCCACTGGCCCTCACGCCGCACCGCCGCCGCCCTGGATCTGGACTTCCAGGAGCCGGTCTGGAAACCCGACGGCCCGTCCGACAGGAGCGCAGAGTTCGCTGTGGCTTGAGCTGTGAAACACTTCAGGAGACGCTGATGCTCTCGTCTTCCAGAACAAACATCTAAACACGTTTACTGGAGAAGCAAGTCTCCATATCTTCAGTCAGTTTCTTCTCCTGTAAATGTGTCTTGATTAGGAATGCACGATATATTGGTATCGGCTGATAAACGCTCATTGGTATCGTGTCTGATATATTAAAGCTGATAAATAATGTAAGCTGAGACGCTTCAGACGCGCACTGTTCAACATGATGATTATGAGTCGCTTGAAATATGATCGGAATCACTTTGAAAAGGAAAATACAGTAAAGCGCAGTCATATCAGCTACATAAAGTTACACTGAGAACATCATAATCGTGGGTTTTAATGCTGAGACTTTTGTTTTTATAATCAGCCTCTCAAAAACGATGTGGATTTAGATTTATCGGCCGATATATCGGTTATCGGCTTTCAAATATTAAGAATTATCGGTATCGGCCAAAATGTTGATATCGCTCTTGATTTGAGAATGTTTGGATATTTGTGCTGGAAAACGAGCAGATGGTTTATTAGTGTGATTAATAATTCTCAGTCTCTTGCTGATGTTATGAAGCGCGGATGTAGCATTCTCACGTCAGGTGATGATTTGCACAGTTCATTTCTCTCGCGAGCATTACGATATTTTTGATTATCAGGTCGATCCTGGATCTCGTGAATATAAGAACCGCTCATATTTCACCCCAAAAACGAAACAAAATGGATAATATTTTTCACTTTAACGTGAAAAAAAGGCTTAATTATAGATGTATAATTATATCAATTGTGTATATGAAGAGTGCACATTTGAAATTTTCTTCTAGAATGATAATTTTTTATCAAACTTGTATATTTAATTTCACTTAAATGACAATTCATAGGTAATCTTCATCCCCATTTAAGTGAAATTAATTAACTTAAATATACTAGCTTGATAAAAATGATCATTCTAGAAGAAAATTTCAAATGGCACTTAAGAGGCTTTTTCATCTGAACTCTTCATATATAAATACACACATGCATGTACATAATTAAAAAATATTTTAATGCACATACTCTATAATTTAAATTATATATAAATAACACATTTTATTAAATATATACATGCATGTGTGTATTTATTATACACAGTACACACACATATATTATGTAAACACACATTTTTATGTGGGATGCCATGAGCTATATATAAATAGGCTTCATTTCTCAAAGGGAAATACAGCGTCTTTGGGGTGAAATATGAGGGTTTCTGTGCTTTCTTTGGTGAATCTGAGACTCTGACCCAAACGCTGGTGAATCCAGAACTGATCCCAGGACAGTTTCAGGAGCAAATGTTGATCTGAAGAGAAGGAAAGCTGAATAAACACTCATGCCCTCAGTGACTGTCTGTCTTTGAGGAACAGCGAATGCAAATCTCTGATCGTGTGGATTCCCCAACTCTAGTGTGAATGTGTTTCCCCGTGGGATCGGGATCTGTGTGTGTGTGTGTGTTATCTCTCAGGCATGAAGCGATGGTTATGTTCCCTCGTGTCGCACATTCATTCAAACGACTGTATTAATTTATAAAAGCATCTGTTGACTGTGAAACTGACTGTGGTTTTGTGTTACTCCTCCTTTCTCCTCTTCTCATCTCTATGTAAACAGGGAACGCTCTCAGAACACTTTACTTTGAACATTTGTAAATGTGACCAGTTTTGGAGCGTCTCGTCATGTTTGTGGCAGTTACGTTCTGCATATTTGTGTTGGCTGGATTGTGCGTTTGTTTTCATGAGCAATGCATTTGTGTGGCTTGCAATTTAGTTTTTATTTCTTTTTAGGTAATAAATTAAGATAAAGAAATGTTTGCTGTTTTCTGTTTTCGGATTTCACTTTAAATACCAGTGTCGCCTGATCAAACGGTGACTAAACATGATTAAAAAAACGTGCAATGTTTCATAATGTAATTCCTGATGACTGATGGGTTCCTACTAAGACATTTAAGTTAGACACTGTATTAAACAACAATAGATAATGTTCAGCGATGACGTTGGTCGGTCTAGACGCCGGGTGAGTCATGTGACTGATGTGTTTTTCTTCAAACACAGGTGTGTGTGTGTGTGTGTGTTCTTGCAGCTCCATTCATTCCGTTGTTTGAATTGAAATATTCCGTTTTTTGAAGAGGATATGAAACAGAAACCAGAGTCTGACATTCTGAAACAAAAACAATCAAACACACAATTACAGAAACTAGCACAAAACATTTCCTAGATAGCACAAGGGTATTTGATGTGCTATTTACATCTGGAAGACGTATTTTTAAGAGCGTTTCCTGTCAGATGTCCAATAGACGTTTATAAGATGTCTCTAAGGTGTAATGATTTAGAATGCATGTTAAACTGACATCTTATAAACATCTATTTGACATCTGACAGGAAACGTCCTATAGACATCTTGCAGATGAGCAAACACTCTTAAAAATACGTCTTCCAGATGTAAATAGCACATCAAACAGCCTTGTGCTATCTGGGTTAGCTTGACATTGGATATAATTGTAGATCTGCAGATCACAGGACGAAGTAAAGTAGTTAAAGTCACGAGCTCGGGAGAAAATCGCAAATATCTCGGCGAAAACGCAATTTATCGAAGCCAAATTTTTATCGCGTGGAGAACGGGCCGAGACCAGCGATTACAGGCCCCCAAATTTGGCATCGAAACGTTGACTTTTTCGCCGAGATATTTGCGATTTTCTCCCGAGCTCGTGGCGCCATTTCAGAACGCGGCCGACGGTTTTCGGCTAATATCTCCGCGAATACTCCACCAATAATGACGGAACGCATATGGTTTTGTTCAGTTCGGCGAGCCGGTTCGAAGAAGCCCAGTCTCCGTCAGATACGTTGAGTCTTCACCGAGATATTTGCGTTTTTCGCTTCCGGAGGGGCTTTGTGGGCCAGTATCTCGGGCCCACGAGGCTGGGGGTGGTCTCTTTGGAAAGGTCTTGGCCCGTTCTCCACTCGATAAATATTTGGCGTCGAAAAGTTGATTTTTCGCCGAGATATTTGCGATTTTCTCCCGAGCTCGTGGCGCCATCAGAGCGCGGCCGACGGTTTTCGGCTAATATCTCCGCGAATACTCCACCAAAAACGACCAAACACATATGGTTTTGTTCAGTTCGGCGAGACGGCTCGAAGGAGTCCGGTCTCCGACAGATACGTTGAGTCTTCACCGAGATGCGTTTTTCGCTTCCACTCGATAAAAATTTGGCGTCGAAACGTTGAATATTATTGGGGGATTTGGGGGCCTGTATCTCGGTTTAAAAAAAACTTAAACCAAGAAGCATTTACTAAAGTAGTAAAAGGCCTTAAGATATTAAGTCTTGTTTTCTGGGGAAATAAATCAAAATAAATAAATAAAAAGTGAGTTTTTGCTTAAAACAATGGAGGAAGAAAAATAATCGTCTCTCTGTTAACATTATTTTTCTTATTGGCAGATAATTTAGCTTTTTAAGCACTTATTTTTGATGAATTTTCCCAGAAAACAAGACATAATGTGTTATTTTACTCATCTAGTAAACGCTTCTTTATTCAAGAATTTTTAGATATTTAGACTGAAAACGAAAAGAGAAGCATTTTGCAGTGTGTTTTGGTGAGTTAAAACCAATGGTGTAAAAACACATGTTGTCTTATTGATCATATTGGGCATATTTCAGGCTTATTAATGGTAATTTCTGGTGTTAATGAACGGAGATAGCAGCGAAAGTTCCTGAGCTCAGAGGAAGTGACACGAGCAGTTTCCTGTGTCCGTGATCTCAGACAGGAAGTAGATCTTACCCAACGTCCTGCTGAGGGAGAAGAGGAAGTGAGGAAAGAGGAAGTAGCGTTCACCGTGACGCATCACATCCTGTCTATCTGACTGCCGGGCGGCGTTGACACGTGAGGGATTTTCTCATCACACACACACACACACACACACACACACACACTGCAGAAATGAGCTTCTTCCACAAACTGATTTTCTTCCCTGCACTCCATCTCTGGCTGAAAATATCACACACAACTTTAACACAAACATTTGTATAGCGTTGTAAACACATTATATTTGGCGATATAGACCATTTCGCAAGATGTAAATAACACTGGTCCAGAAGCACTTCCTGTTTCAGTTTGTAACTGTTTTCTTTATTTCACATGTAAAGAAAACATCGTAAAGATGTTTGTTTAACTCTTTGATTCAGTTTTAAATGTTCTGTTGGTTGTATTTTATCCCAGCTTTTATGTAGTGTTAAAAAACTGAAACAGGAAGTGTTTATGGACCAGTGTTGTTTACATCTTGTGAAATGGTCTATATACACACAGTTATGCTGAACCTGAAGCTGTGAACGCAATCGTCAGAGATGTTGAACAGGTCACGCGAAACACGAAAGCAAGATAGAAACACTATTACTATTATTGATTGAAACTAACTATTAATCTTTCTGTGGCTGTGGATCCAGTGTTACAGTCCGAAACACCCGTTACTCGACCTTTGACCTTTAGGCCTATTCTAAAGCCATGATCGGTGTGTGTTCAGGAAAGCAATGAGTGTCTGCACATGTGAGTGAGGAGTGTGTGTGTGAGGAACTGATGAATTACTGTGGTGTTTTGATTGGTTGTGTTTGAAAAGGGAAATCGAGAGAGTTCCTGTTCGATGTGTGTGTGTGTGTTTGTAGGTGTGTATGAGCTGAGGACTCCGTGCGGACGCGCTCCTGAAGTCTGAAGTGCATTGATCTTGTTTTAATGAAACTCCAGTATTGTGTGTGAGTGATTGAGTTACAGAGAGAGAGAGAGAGTCTGTTGTGAGTCTCCTGAAGAGCCGAGGTCAGCGCTGCGACCCTTGACCTTTGACCTCAGACACATCGTCCCTGCAGGGCTGGCGATGAAGCACGTCTAGTGAAGGAGGGAGACATGTTTACACAGGTAAGAGTGTGTGTGTGTGTGTGTGTGTGTAGACTCATTGAGCGCCAGTGTACTCTCTGCATGACAACATCATTAACTATATTCACTCACTATCATGTGGTTAGCACACACACACACACACACACACACACACCTGACCTAGATAAGCACGAGAGACACAAACCGTCACAGGAAGGAGCTGCAGGTGTTTCAGGAACACGAATAAAAGTCAGAGAAAGTTCCAGTAAAGAGTTTTTACTGAAGCCCCTTTTGGTCCCCATTGACTTCTTCAGTCACTGTTGTTCTTCTCCAGTAAACGTGTCGTGATGTGCGAGTGTGTAGATGTGTGTGTGTGCTGGAGAACGAGACAGACACACTGAGGAGGATCGTCATGACCATCATTCGTGTGCTCCGTCACGCAATAATGACACATGAGGCCCTCAGACCGTCGACCCCGTCTCCGCGTGACCTTTGACCTCCGGCGTGACGGTCACATTCAAATGCGTTCAATCACCATCGGGCCGTATTGACCCTGAGCTCGACTCTCCGTCTGAACGCAGGAACTTTGACCTTTGACCTCTCCAGATCAATGGACCCTGATGAACGCGACGTCCCTCCGGCCGCGGACCCGTTACGGCGCTTTAATCCGCTTCATAAACGAGTCGCCGATTCTGCCGTCTGATCGATGGATCATTGATCTGCTCTCCTCGATGATCAGGGGCTCGTTCGTGCTTTAATTAGCTGGAAATGTGTTTTATTGCACACGATGGAGTCAAATAATCATTTCCCCTTTGAATTAAATTAAACACAAACTCACATTTTCAGTCAT